CCCCCCCCCCCCCCCCGCAGGCCCCGGGAGTATGCCTGGAGCAGCAGACGTGAGCCGCCAGGGCCACGGGCGGGCGCGCACCTTGACCTCGTAGCCGGTGAGGAACTTCATCTCGATGGACTTTTTCAGCACAGCCTCCCGGTCCTGGTCAGCAGCAGCCCTGATGATCTGGGCACACAGAGGAGCTGCTGGGGCCAGAGCCACCCTGCCCGCCCCCAACACTGCCAACCGCTCACTGTTCCTCCCGGACCCTGGCCCTGAGGTCCCAGCGGGGCCGGGAGCCTGACGGGGCCATGACCTCCCCAGACTGATCACGGGACAGGAGCCGTCAGCCTCCCTCCCTCCCTCCCTCCCAGTCCCCACCCCCAGCCCTGCCTCAGGACCGCATGGCCAGGCCCTGCCCTGCCCGCCCTACCTGGATGTAGAGGTCAGTGAAGGATCTGTCAAATTCCCGAGTTGCCCCAAAGTCCAGGAGAGCCACCTGGGAATGGGCGAGAGCAGGGGCAGGTTGGCGACTGGGGGCTGAGACCCCCGACCTCGGAGCCCCGCTCCAGCAGAGACCTCCGGCCCCTGCCCGGCCCCCACCCAGGGCTCACCTTGTGCTGCTCAGGATCATAAAAGAAGTTGGACCAGTTGGGGTCTGTCTGCATGAAGTGGAACTCAAACAGCTCCCGTAGGCACAGGACCAGGATGTGGTGGCAGATCTGGGGGCGGGGAGAGCCCGGTGACTGAGAGTCTAGGGCTGGGGAGGCCTGACTCCCAGCCCCACCTTCTGCCCAGATGACACGTAGTTCCAAGGGAACTACCTGGGGGCAAGGGGAGGACACGCAGCCCCCTGTCCCCCTGAGCCACACAGGGGTCACCTGGAGGCTGCAAGGCCAGCTGCAGACACACCTCGTTCCGGATCTCCTGGCTCAGCCCCTCCGCCTGGTCGAGGGGGAAGCCAGACACGAGCTCTGTGGTCAGCACGTGGGGGCTGCAGAGCTCGTCCACGACCTCGGGCACGTAGAAGAAGGGGTGGTCCTTCAGCAGCTCCCTGTGGGGCGGAAGTCACACCGGGCCAGCTCCCCCCACACCCACCCTGGGGGAGACAGGCAGGACAACAGGGACTGGCCAAGTGGGACCTGCTTCTCAGTGGGCAGGACCCGGGCCACAGGCACCCACCCCTCAGGACCCCTTCCCCCCCTGGGCTGCCTGAAGACGGCCCCTCTGTCCCCTGCTGGGACAGCAACAGGCACGGGGCCCACAGCCCACCGGCCCCGCCAGGAGCTGCACCTGAACTTCTTGGCACAGGCGGCCTCTCGCTTGTAGTCGCACTCAAGGGCCAGCTCCCGCCTCAGCACGTCGATCAGGTGCTCGGGGAACAGGCCTGGACAGGGTAGGAGGGTGTCCGGGTGAGCCGAGGGCTCCCTAGGGAGGCCCCCGCGGGTACCCAGAGCCCATCCCAAATGCCTGCCAGAGGCCAGCAGCGAGCACAGACCTTCCGGAAGCACGTTGCTCATGTTCAGCACGGCCATGAGGTTGTTGACGTCGCTGTTGATGCTCTGGGCCACGCCAGGGTACTGCAGGGGGAGCAGGGGGTGTCCCATGAGCAGAGCGGGACCCCACTCCTTGGGGGAGTCACAGCTGCCTACCTCTCCCTCCCACCCCGTCTCTAGGAACAGCCGCCACTCAGGGCCCAGCCCTCCAGCTCGGGCCCAAAGAGACAATCACGGTCCCGTCCTCACCCAAGCCAAGCTCCTGGGGGCTGTTCCACCCCCACGGCCACTCACTGGGCGAACCGGTTCCAGCGCCCAGTGCTGACCAGGCGCTGGGGCCAGAAACGACGACACAGACCCTGCCCTGCAGGGCCCACACCACGGCCGGCTCCCCTCGCAGCCCCTGTGGGACGCGTGCACCCAGCGCCTACCTGGATCTTCATGGCCACCTCACGCCCGTCCTTCATGCGGGCCAGGTGCACCTGCCCGATGGAGGCGGCTGCGAAGGGCCGCTCCTCGAAGTACTCCAGCTTGTCCCTCCAGTTGGGGCCCAGGTCATTGTTGAGAGTTTTCTGGAGGGAGAGGCCAGGGAGGGACCGTCAGCCCAGCCCAGCCCCTCCCAGGAGGCCCCGCAGCTCCTCTGCAGCCCAGGCCCCGGCACGGCACCCCGAGCCTCACCGTCATCTGCTTCAGGGGCATGAAGTCCGCGCTCTGCCGTACCCGCTCGAAGATCTTGGCCAGGTGGGGGTTGATGAAAGCGTCGTCTGGAAGGCACCGAGGAGTCAGATTGCAGAGGGCCGGCCCCTGGGGAGGAGCGCACCCACCCTGCCCGTGCGGGCTCCTGGGAGAGGCTGCTCTGCCCCCACACACTGGAGCCCAGGCCCAGTGCCACCAGCAGGCCCCGCCCAGCTCCTTCCTCGCACCCTGGCAGCATGTCCCACCCAGCACACAGGTGGACAACAGCTTCAGAGGGACGGACGCTGACCGGGGTGTGCACACTCGGGGCCCTGGCTGGAGACAGCGCCCCCAGCCCCCCACCCCTCTGCCACGAGGCACCGGGGGAGCCTGGGCAGCCGGGCCCTGACGACAGGCCGCGTGGCTCTCTGAACCCACCCAATGACCTGAGAAGGTGCGCTTCTTAGAAATAACAGCCGTAGCTTTTCACAATTATAAAAAAATAAATTTAGGAAATAAAGGATAGATAAAAATGTGTAAAATACCCACAATCTGGTCACCTGCAGGGAGTTACCCTTTTTCTTTCTGACCCTTTTCCCGGGTTCCATCCAGAGCACTGCCTCGAGCTGCTCAGTTACTGAATGTTCGGAATCGGCTGTCCCCTTCCCCCGCCCCCGCACTGGCCCTGCTGCTGCTTCACTGGCTTCAGCTTCTGTTAACAGTCACGCCCCGAAGGACGTCTCGGTCCGTGACCCCATGGCACCATAAGGTCCTAATGGAGCTAAAAAATCCCCATCACCCAGTGACCTCACAGCCGCCATGACCTGGTAGCACAAGGCCTGCTTCACGCTGTGGTGATGCTGGTGTCAACAGACGAGCACACACAATACGGACAGTTTGTCGTGCTCGATCGTAAGTGGCGGCTGCTGCCTCACGTGTGTACTATACTCTCTACTTATCACAAGAAGCTCGCTCTGTCTCACAGGATGCCGGCCCTGGCCGGGTGGCTCAGTTGGTTAGAGCGTCATCCACATCCACCAAGGTTGTGGGTTCGATCCTTGGTCAGGGCACATACAAGAATCAACCAATGAACGCATCAGTAAGTGGAACAACAAATCCATGTTTCTCTCTAAAACCAGTAAATAAAACCTCAAACAGTCACAGGTTACGCCAGCAGCAGCCCCACACGTCCGTGTTGGCACCTGATTGCATCACCTTCTGTGCTGGCTCGGTCTCGTGTTGTTCTGTGCAGTGGCGTGTGGAACAGGCGTGGGGCCAGGAGCCGCAGGCTGAACCGACTAGACTTGTGTGATGTTTGCCCCGTGGCACCGCCTCAGAGGCTTTTCCCAGAACGTGTCCCTGTGACTACGCGCACGTGACTGCCCGTGCGAGCGATGAACCCGCAACAGCCCCGCAGCCGAGCCCTGACCGTCCGCAAGGCTTCCCTCGGTGTCACTGGACGTGGGCGCCCAAGTCGGGGCTGTGCACCACCAGACATCAGCTAAGCGCTGCTACGCGTGCGCACAGCCCGGCAGCACCACCCTGTGCCCGCCGCCTGCCCGAGCGCCTGTCCCACGAGCCCATCCAGCTGCTGGGGCGAGGGCCTCGGCCTCTGGGGCGTCCCATCCTCTGCTCGTGGGGCCACACGGTGCCGGGCTGTTCAGCTGCCTTCCCTCCTTGGGCCACGTGCTCCTTGCCTCCAACACCAACTGGGAGGACCGCGAGCCCTCCTTCCTGCTCCCTCCAACCAACACGGGGGGGGGGGGGGGGGGGGGGCGACAGCAGACAGACTCGTCCACTTCTGAGATGCCAGGACCACCTCTAGACGTCTCTGCTCCCAGAAGGAAGGTGACTGGGCTCCTGTTTCAGACTCTGTTTAAGTGTCCCTGCTGGCACCAGCCAGGATCGAGCAAGAGGAGCCGTGAAGAACCCCCCTCCCCGTTGGGCTGAAGCGCGCTGCCCCCCAGGTCCGCGCACCAGGCAGGGCCCACTCACCCTGGATGCTCAGCATCTGGCCCAGCTTGAGCGCCGCCCCGCGCACCTTGCACAGCGTGCTCACGATGCGCTCTGCGTTGGCCTCCGACAGGAAGGGGCTGGAGTCCAGCACGGCCTTCTTCCCCCCTGTGGGCAGAAGCCAGGTCATCGCGGCACCACCACCCTCTCGAGTGCCAGGGCTCGCCGGGGGCTGTTGGGCAGGTGCAGGGCCCGAGGACCCCCTGGCACACCCCAGCCCACGGCCAACCGGCTGTCTTGGGCCAACACCATCACCCCACCCTCCTTGGTAAACGCAGAGGCAGGAACGTTTGGGGGGGGGGGGGTTAGTGCCATTTGAAAAAGCCCAACACGGAGCCTGACCAGTCTCCCTCCTGGATGCCCATCAAACCCCAAGAGCAATACAACTTCCACACCCACCTCCCTGCCGCTGCAGAGGCCTTGGGAACACGCCGGCACCGCCGACCCCCACCGCGCACGCGCACGCGCGCGCGCACACACACACACACACACACACACACACCCCAGTGCCTGGGCCTGGAGAGGGCACGCTGAAGGGCAGTCAGCTGGAGCTGGGGACAGGCACCGGGAGGGAGGGACCCAATGCACAGTGCCAGGCCAGAGGTCGCCCAGCACGTTCACCACAGGGCCAGCTGGCTCAGGGAGGGGAGCTCAGGGTCAAGGACAGCACTCGCCCGCTGTGCCTGCCTCTCCCCTCTGCCCAGAGGCCCCTGCAGTGACCTCAGGGGTGCAGACGACCTGTGTCCCGGACACTGGGGGTGGGAGGGTGCGCGGCGATGACTCAATGAGGTTGCAGGGGGGCCAGCCAGTGCCCAGTGCCCTGTCTCCACCTCAGCGGCCCAACCTAAACACTGAGTCTGCCCTTGTCCTGGGGGGAGGCGTGCTGGGCGCCCCCTCTGCCCTCCCCAGCTCAGCTCCTTGGCACCCTGTTCACTGTCCTGCAGCCTGTGGCACTCGGTGCTCTCCTGCCTGCTGTCCTGGGAGCCCAGTTAGGTGCCTGGCCCAGCCCTCAGAGGAGGACTGAGCTGGGTCCCAAGAAGGGAACAGGAGAGGTGGCTTGCGGGGACCCCCTGCCCCCTGCCCCAGGGACTGTATCCAGCCCAGCCTTGATGGAGTGGGGTGCACAGGGTGGGGTGCAGTTTGCAGAAGAGAAGCCCCAAAGAGAACATGCGCATCTGCCAGCCTCAGGGCAGCCCTGTCGCTCACTCAGGAGTCAGGCTCACTCCTGGGTCCCAGACGGCAGGGGGTCCCGGGAGGGTGAGCGATGTCAGCTCTGCAGGGAGAGACCAAGCTGCTGGGGGCCAGGGGGGCAGCCGTGGGCAGGGCTCCAGAATGGCTGGACCAAGAAGGGTCCCCAGATCACACCCCGGCTACGGCTCCATCGCCAGCGGGGACACGGCTGGTTCTGAGAATAACGAGGAGCCGGGCGGCAGAGCGTGGTGGGCCTGCCCCTCAGGAGAGCCTCCTCCAGGGCGGAGCTGGCCTGGCTGGTCAGCGCCCTCCAGGCCACGGCATCGCAGGCCTGTCCTGAGAGCTGGAGCAGAGCTTGGGGGCTGCCAGCCCCTCCTACCTGGCCTGAGCCCGTCCTCTGGCTCCTGGGCCTTGACCTCCAGCCAAGGTCACTGCTTCCCTGACAAAGGACACCCGCTTGAGCCTGGAGCCAGTCCTAGCCTCCTCCCTGCCCAGACCTGCTGGGAGAGGACGCCCGCCGTGGGGGGCGGGAGGGTGCTGCTCGGGAAGGCTGGCTGCTCTCCCCAGGAAGCCAGGCCTCATGTCCAGTGTCTCCAACACTAAAAATACTCCCGCTAAATCCCCTGTCCCCAGCCCCTTCCAAGGACACACGGTGTCCCCTGTCCTCGGGCTGTGGGGACAGCCTACTGCCTTCTCTCTGGTAGGTTCCTTGACCCACAAGAGGGTCTTGCGAGTGAGGAGGGGCCACCCCTGTGACTGGCAGGCCCCTCAGAGCCCAGCCCTGAACTGGCAGCCCGGGCAACAGGGACAGGACAGGGGGTGTCACAGGGGTCCTCATGGAAGGGAGAGGAGGTGTCAGATACTGGAAAGAGCTGACGTCTCCTGGAGAGACGCGTGTTCTGACATGACCCCTGGCTGACCCCGGGAGGCAGGGTCGGAGATTCAGGACCTTTGCCTCAGAGATGGAGGGCCCTGTGGGATCTGTCCCAGCAGCACCCACACCCTCAGCCGCAGGAGGAGCCCTGGGGCCTGACCAGCCAGGCCCCAGGCCCCAGCAGCTCCGGAGAGCAGGGGCGGGGCTGGGCCAAACCTCAGCTCCACTGGAGGGGCCAGGGCGGCGGGGGGGGCCAGGGCAGTAGGG